TGTGGTCCTTCTACCATTCACCACGTTTTTTTCTATCTCTCAAAGGATATCTCCTTTCATTTCAAGAAGACACAACTTGTTGCACTCCATGGTCACCTCCAGCCTTCTTTTCTTTTGAAGATAGTCTTTTCTCACTCAAAGGTTCATAATCATCATCACCATCATCATCAACATCTTCATACTCTTTATTGCTGGTCTTAGCAATTGTAGACGCCTTCTTGTCCATCTTCTTTGCCTCTTCATCTTCATTTTCACCTTTACAACCATTATTATTTTTGTCTTCTTCCTTCTTTGCTGAATTTGAAGATGTGTCCACAAACACACCATTACTTCCACTTGAACACATCTCTAAGTACTCACAAGCACTCTTGTGCTCCAAAAACTCAACATCATGACTTTTGATGATCTTTTTAGTCTCCAAACACATGAGCCTATAAGCCTTTGTACCTTCATAATATCCAACAAACACACATTTTGTACCTTTTGTATCGAATTTTGATGTCATACAATCTGGTATATTTACATATGCTATGCATCTAAAGGTCCTCATGTAAGAAACACAAGGTTTTCTCCCACTCCAAGCTTCTTCTGGCGTCATTGATGTAAGTGCACTTATAGGACACTTATTTCTTGTATATACTGCATTCACCACTACTTCCACCCAAAACTCATGTCCAAAGTGTTGTGCATGAAGCATACTGCTTGCCATCTCCACAATGGTCTAATTTGCTCTTTCAACAACTCCATTTTGTTGTGGAGTGTAAGGAATGGAGGTTTGTCTTACAATACCATGCAACTTTAAGAAATCATTGAATTGCTTTGACATATATTCACTTCCATTGTCTATATGTAGTACCTTGATTTTGCATTCACATTGCTTCTCCACAAGTGCTTTAAACTCTTTAAACCTTATGAAATACTCATTCTTTGCTTTGACGATGAAAATCCACACCTTCCTTGAAAAGTCATCAATGAATGTGACAAAATACCTTGCACCTCCTATTGATGGCATCCTCATAGGTCCACAAACATCAAAATGGACAATCTCTAATAACTTGGTTGCACTTGTTGCAACTCCACTTGGAAATGATGCCCTTTGTTGTTTGCCTTGAATACAACCTTCACAAGTAAGTGTCATAGCATTGTGGCTTATATGACCAAGATCTAAGCCACTTACCATGGATTAAAGCTTCTTCATGCTCTTGGCATTCAAATGACCAAGGCGTTAATGCCAAATGCCAAACTTGTCTTGATCTTGAAGAAATTTAGGAAATACCGCCACTTCAACTCCATTCACCTTCTTATACTTGATGAAGTAGAGGTTGCCATCTCTAAAGCCCTTTGCAATATGATCGCCTTCCAATGTCTTCACAAAACATCCATTCTTATCAAATTATACTTTACAATCATGTGAAACAAGTTTACTCACCGAGAGGAGGTTTTTCTTCATCTTTGGTACATGTAAGACGTCCTTCAATCTGATCTTCTTGGTTTGGCCTTTTACAACAATCTCTATAACAATGGAGCCCATTTCAATAGCTTGTACTATGCCATTGTCTCCCATGAGGATATTTGTTGTTGAAATCTCTTCATAAGTATCAAATGAATACTTGTATGGAGTCATGTGCTTGGTGGCACCAGAATCAATGATCCACTTAGACATGGCAGCCATGGAAGTGCCTTCACTTGTCATGAATGCATAATCATCACCTCCATATTCATCATGAGTATTGTTTGCACTTTCTCTATCTCCTTTCTTAGCTTTGTAGTAATTTCGAGCAAAGTGACCTGGTTTTCTACAAATGAAGCAAGTTCTCACATTGCCACATTGCTTAAGATGAGTCCCCTTGCCTTGTCTTGAAAAAAAGCCGAATCCTCACTTTAGGACTTCTTTTCTTTCCTCTTGGTCACTTCATAGGCAAGTCTTGTAGTGACATAATCCATTGTGAGTTCTTTTACCTTGATGGACTTCAATGCCACAATGAGGTAGTTGTAGGACTCGAGAAGGCTCATAAGCAAGGTCATGACAATATCACTCTCTTCTAAAGGCTTGTCAACAATTGCAAGTTGATTAGCAAGGGCTTTTACCTTGTTGACATGAGCCATGAAGTCTTCACCTTCTTCCATCTTGTAAGTGAAGAATTTCCTCCTTGTGAAGATGATATTGGACAAGTTCTTGCTCTTCTATATGTTGCAAAGAGTCTTCCATGCTTCTGCTGGTCCTTTGCAAGAAATGATGTGAGAAAAGTTGGCTTCATCCAAATTGGTGGCAATCATGCCAAAAACCTTCTTTTCATGTCTTGTGAAGTCCTTCCTCTCTTTAGCATTATCATGCGTGCTTGGAGGCTCTTCACTTTCATCTACAATGTCCCAAAGGTACAAAGACGCTAACAAAAGCTTCATTTTGACCTTCCAATGGTAGAAATTATCACCTCTAAACTTCTCGATCAGTCTCAAACCTTCACTCTCACTTGAAGCCATATCTTAGAAGAGGTCTATCAAAAAAATATCAAAAAAAGGAGTCTCTATGTGCTTAAAATCACCAAAATAATTTTGTACTAGCAAAATCTCAGAATGCCCTCTTGTGAACAAATGAATGTTTCTTCACTCCAAACACTCCCAAATCAACTTTCAAAGCTTCTAACAAGTATGTTGACTTCAATCAACCTAACCATCAAGTTCTTCTACTCATATAACTCACTTTCTCACTACAACACCAAAGACACTAACAAGGTCTTTGTAAAAGGTCTTAATCACTCAATCCTAGGAATTAAGAACCTTCAAACCATTATTAGAGATCTATAAGGCCCAAATCAGAACCTCCACAAGTCAAAACACAAGATTAGATCATATAATCTCTAACATCAGCAAACACCATAAGATCTATTCCACATAAGAACAACAACCAGCAAATGACTTCAATATACTTGAATAGTACAACAAAGTATGTGTGGGCCTATAACCTATTGAAGAAACACAATAAGTAAGACACAAGTAAGTAGAAATCAGCAAGGTTAAACACAAGAGAAGTGTGGAATGAGATACCTCTCACTTCCAACATCCTTTACTTATAGGTAGATATTACATCCATTTTGGATAGCATTCATCTTACTTTCATCCAACTAAATCCTAAATTCCTCTTAACCTAGTCGTGACTTTAAATCCTAGTTGCCACCTATAACCCTAGCCGCCATCTTGGTATCTTTTCTTCATCTTTTTGCTGCCCTTTGACTATTAGCAACTTATCCAAGATAATATCTTTTACCTTCTACCTTATCTTCCATTTACTTTAACATCTCCTCCAATCACCCACCATCAACAGCTGCTCAGAAGGTGACTGGTTTGGGGTGTTCGATAATGAAGAAGGCACTCAACCAATGTGGGTTGGCGAGTTACCACGGCCTACTGTCCAAATCTGGGGTCCATACACTTGTGGACCAAGGCAAAGATTTGAAAATTTAGCGTCGATCCCCAATAGCAACAGCTGGTGGCTCTCCACGGACCTAGTATGCCACCTGAAACTGAAAGGATGGACCGAGAGTCATCGCCTCGCACTAGGATCGAAGGGTACCTTTGTCGTGTCAGTAGTAGAAGTCCAGAGAGGGCAGGGGAAACAACGTAGTTTGCTATATTATGGCAGAACAAGCAACATCAATTGGGACCCCAAGCGTTTCTCATGGGGAGATACGGCCCCAATCATGACCTACACGGCATCGATTGGGAGAAATTTGCTTAAAACAGCCCACATCGTCCTCGAGGTGGTACCAGCAAAATGGAAGGGTGTCCTTCCAACGGACTACAGGCTTAAGTGGCTGAACACATGGGACAAAGAAAGGACACAGAAGGAAGCGGGACTACTCTGGCTCATCTGGCACAGAGCAGTCGCCGTGGATGCATGGCGAGGTCGAACAAATAGTGGGGTGCACCAATGTTGTCCTGCCTGCCTGTGCAGTAAACGTGAAACGGTATTACACCGATTTTGGAAGTGCCCATCAACCGAGAGGGTTTGGAGATGGGGTACTCATATTTTACGGTCGTTTATAAAGGACCCCCATGTCGCGGGCCATCATCGAGGACCACAGGTAGAAGTACCGACGATGATCCGGCGAACACCGCTCGAAGGGGTGGAATGCCACTGCTGGAGTTCTCCCGCTCATGGAAGCACTGCGTGTTTGCTCATCGCATACCCAGGAGATTCAAACCAGTCAGTAGATTGTGTCTCCTACTGAGGGGATCAACTGCGTGGTTGCTTTGGCTGGAACGAAACGATGCAATTTTCAATGGCACGTTTTGGTGGAAAGAAAAGATGTACACAAAAATCTGGCTGTGCATGGTCGATTACGGTCGGATAGCCTGGAGTCAAACCAAGACCCACTGTAAGCGACACCCGGAGAAACAAAGGAGGTTAATAGAGAAATTTAAACAATTATGATGTAGGAAAGCAGTCGTAGCCTCTTGGTCTGCGGAGCAACCTCAGTGGAAAATGGTAGGCCCTAGTCACACGTTTAATAGTCATTCCTAGTATGTGCTCTGTACCTGGCCGGACCTGGCCGGGTGCTTACCTGTATCATATCCTATCTTGCAATAGAAAATTTGCGATAGAAAAAAAGCTGCTGTTGACTAATGACTTTCCTGCTTCATTAACCTGGGTTTATAATTATTATTATTAATATTTTCTTTTGAGCCAAAGCGGTACATGTGGAACTGAAGGCCGATTCTCTGCAGACATGTCTGTAACAGATCTTCCGATTCATCATCCCTTTCTCTCGCCTGGAATCTCGCGATGCAGATCGTAACACGCGGGGACAAAGCGATTTTCATTTAAACACTGTATTACACCGAGATTCTTGAACTTGGATTCGGTTAAAACTTGTAGAACGAGGCCAGGTCTACTGTGGTAGCATTTTCAGTCAACGCGGTTGGATGGTTGGACCTAGTGGCACACGCTGAGATGAATTATGCGCGCGGATAAATGAGCCCTAGAAGTCCACTGGGAACTGCTCTCCGTGCTGGCTAGGTCATGTCGGCGACTTCTGGGTACACGTATTTCTACTGCTCTTGCTGCCCAGCATTCCGCACCACGATAGTGTTTTGTCGCCTTGCGGAAGCAACACTCATCTTGTGGGTTCAAACCGGTGGATTCGCAGCGGTTAAGTCTTCGGTTGTGATGGCCCATAAGAGGAAAGTGTAGTGTTCCATTGGGTTCATCAACCTAAATGTGTAGCTCAAAACACACGCTGAAGGTTGTGCGAGCTTCATGCGCCTGGTTAGAGCGTTCGTGAAGGGTTGCTAGAGTGAAAGATTTGGAAGCTTGTCGCATTCTAGTGTGTTGAGGTTCTTCTGAAGCATTTGCGATGGCAGCGACCATCAGACCGTCCCGGCCAGAAATTGATCTCAACCTCCAACCTCACCTGCTGCAGGAGCTTACAGATTCGTTCAAGTTCTTCGACCGCAACGGCGATGGCAAAATCTCGAAAGAAGAGCTTGGAACCGTCGTGCAGTCTCTCGGTCACAAGGTCACAGACGCGGACTTAGACAAGCTGATGAAAGATGTCGACAAGAACGGCGACGGGTTCATCGACTTCCAGGAGTTCAAAGATATGAACACGAGAGCGATGATTGTCGAATGCCCTGTGGACACAGACGTGAACCGGAACTTGCCGCAACCTGGATCTGACGATTCCTTGATGTCGGCTTTCAATGTTTTCGACTTGGACAAGAATGGCTTCATTTCCAGCGAGGAGCTTCACTCTGTCCTGGTGGGATTCGGCAATGAAAAAATTTCCCTGGACGATTGCCGATTCATGATACAATGCGTCGACGAAGACGGCGACCACATGGTGAGCTACACAGAATTTGAGGCTCTCATGAGCGGTATACGTAGCAGTTAAGTTTCCTGGATACAATCTCCACTTCGCACAAGACATTACAAACACGTCTTGTAAAACTTTTAAAATGTACAGAATTCTTCTAGGGCTGTCCGATTAGATTCCGACAAGTTTTTATTCCCATTCAGCGTGCCGTTTACAAACAACAATGTAGTGATTTCTGGCAATATCTGGGACAAGGTGGCAGTAATCGCAATGAGCAATTTCGCGAGTTGAATTGGTTAATGTAAGATTTGAGAGGATGCTTCGGCACCAACCACGCATTAAGAAAATGTATCATAACGCGAAAGGAGCCTGATACAACAACTGTTTCAGAAATCTCGCTTCGTTTTGTTCGCCGGTCAAAGCCTTGTGAGTGGATGTTTGTGTCCGTGAACGGTTCGTTCGTTTATTTGTCCGTCCGTCCGAATATAAAGGAGTAAATAAAATGTTCATTGATATGGTGAGTAGTACATGTGAACTCCACCCACATTGCAGATTTAAGGGGGGGGTGTATATATATATATATATATACATATTAAATTATATATATGGCGGAAAAACGTTTATTAAAGATCATTATATGAAGTATCTGCTAATTGCCATATGACTAGGTTAAAAGATGAATATTATTCTTCAAAAATAATATATTATTTTTATATTTCATTACATATCTATCTTAGTGGTCTGCCATTATAAAAGTTCAAATAAAAACTATTACAATATTTATATCAATGTGGTAATTGATTGTTTGTGATACATGATTTTTTAAAATTTTAATCTGTTTTGATAAATAGGCTTTGATAGCATGTTAATTATATAGATTTTTTTATGATTTTTATATTTGCAGATGATTTTTTTAAAAATTTGACATGTCATTTTTGTTTTTAAAAGAATACTAAAACAATCCCAATGATATAGAATACAATCTTTGAATTATGTACTTAATTAAATATTTGTGTATTATTTTTTGTTTATAGAAGCAAATTGTTCTAAATATGTAAAAAAAATTATATTGATTTCTTAAACAATAGTATGGTCTTATTTACTAAGTTTATGATAAAGTTTAGCACTTATTAAAGACTTAGATTTTAATGTTAGATAATCTATTATACAAAATTATTTTTAGATTCAAAAGTAAACTTTTAAGTAATCTTTTTTGATAACTATACTTTAAGGATCAAACTTTTTCAATATTTAAATTCTTTTTAAATTTAGAGATTCTTTTTAAAAGTATTTAATATAAATATTTGTATTTAAGAATTTCTAATATATAATTCTAAAAGAAAAATTAACTCAAAATTAAAATTTTTAACAATTTTACAAGATTAGATAATTTTGGACAGAGTTGGAAGTAATAAGATTTTTTTAATATTTTTGACTTGCTTTTAACCTTAAAAGATATCTCTTAGAGCCCTCTAAAATAAACGTATGAGTAAAGAAATATGTTTATTAAATATTAATCTTAGTAATATTTTTTAGCTTTCAAGATAACTAGATTTGTTTAAATTAACATAGTATTTAAAAAATTAAAATTTTCATACTAAATATTCTTCAGTAAAATTTCTTGGAAGTGTGATTATTTATTGCAATTCTTGAACATATATTATTTAAAAGAACATGAATTCTAAGATGGAAGTTGAAACTTAACAGGTTTATTAATGTCTGATAAATTATTTACAAAAAAAATTGATTTCACCCTTTTTATTTCATAGATTTAAATTTTTAATACGAAATAATTTTAAATATTCTTCTTGCTTTGAATTTGGTCAAACAATTAATAAAAAATATATAAATTCTAAGGAAAACATATCCTGAATAACATTCTTGAAGAATAAAATGAAAAAAAGAAAAAGCTGAAAATTATAATAAAAGTTATTTTTTGGCAAGTACACCACGTCCACAATCTATTACACATAAAATTCAAAAGTAATAGTAAAAATTTAAGCATATATACAATGTTTCACAGTTAATAACTTTAAAGAATAAATAAACAAAATTATTTGCTACCATTTGTTGTTTTGGGACTTTGTTACAACACAATAACTGACATAAGAATATCACAATCAATATCAGATTCATATGTTTTAATGTATGTGGCCAAAAGATATTTCAAAAAGATAACATTTGAGTCTCAAAAACATTTTTAATTTTGTCCACTCCGTTATGAATTATCTTACAAGATTTGCACACTCTCAATACTTACAGTTCAACACTGTTTATTCATTTATTACATCTCAGTTCAAGCCTATTTTATTCATTAATTGCTAAAATACCATGGACTTTTAAAAAGAGACAAAACAGCCAACAGTCAACAGAAACAAACAAAAAAAAAAATCAAAAATCAAAAGCTCAATGCAATTTGTCCAAGAATCCTGAAACAAATCTCAAAAAATGTTTGGTGTGTCAAAACGATACGAATGAAATTGTTTAGAGCAAAAAAATTGTACAGCACTTAAAGAACTCCTACTACTACCACTACTCATATCCACCCAAGAGATGTTTCATAGGTTACACTGATTCGGATCCTAACCGTAAGTACCCAATTGAAAACTGAACTTGCAATTGATCAAAATATACATGTATATCCATAAATAAAGAAGAGCATAGAAGGATTTGTCCGTGAACAATACCTTCGCAACTGTGGATCACACACAATATCATGATAATGGCTGCAATACTATGTTAGAAAAATGTGGGTTGTATGTTTGTGTTTGCGAGTGCCGTTGAATGAAGCAGCTTGGTTATCTATCTGGGCAGCAATGTTGAAGCGATACCAGTGGCATCCACCTCCGTGCTGGACGCACTGACAAAACTGGTAGCAGGTGTGTGCAAGGGCACTGTCGTCATGAATCGCATGCTCCTCAAGAGGACTCCGGAATGCCGTCCTGATGCCACAATTCGTTCCAAGTCGCTTGCTTGGAGCATACTTCTTCTGGAATGAGCTTCTGTTTCTGAGTTTGTGCGGCTCAGTTGAACCCCTCGAAGATGTGGCTCTAGATAGCTCACTACATCCTGCAGGAACAATATTAACTTTAGTAGAAAACCCACAACAGGCACCTCAATTGCAAAGGGAGGTATGCAGCGAGACATGTTTGGAATTCGTTCAACTAAACCTCTCAGCAGAAGCAAAAAAGCTGGCATGGATTATAGATGTCTCTGAAACTTCATGAAGGTTTACCTTCATAGTTGGCCTATCGTTCTTGCTGAACGATGCGCACATCAATGCAACATTAGTCATGTTGGTGAATACCTCCTTGTCATAGTCCTCACCCAAAGCCTCGTCCACAATTGCCTCAAGTCCTCTGTCACGGAATCTTGGTTTTACCTTCATCCACCAAATCAAAAATAAATAAATAAATAAATAAATACATAAATAAATACATAAATAAATAAAACACGTTTCATCAACTTTAAACTCGAAAGTCGACATCACCCGAAACCTGAAAGCTAGCAGCAAAAACAAAAATAATGCTAGCGGCTCAAACATGATCCCACATTTGGCAGAAATAAAGATGAGTGTGACCATGGGATCAGCCAAGTATGAAAACAAAAGTGCAAAAATCCAGGACCTTCTTAAGCTGTGCACTATGCTTACCCATTCAACTAGATTGAATTCTTCTTTCCGGCTATGATCGATTGCCTGTTGTCCAGTGATGATCTCCAACAATAACACACCGTAGCCGTAAACGTCACTTGCAGTGGTTAACTGCCGCCTTAGCATGTACTCTGGATCTAAATATCTGCCACATTTCAGATAAAGATACAGATTCAAGACATAAGTACTTTGTACAAAAAATTCAGAGAATGCTTGAAATGATATTTGTACAAAAGGAAACACTTGTGTTTACACAGCTTCGGTACCCATGCACCAATGCCTCTGAATTATTTTTCATTCATATGCTGTAATTATAGCTCGAGCTGAAGCAGTTCATGTTCTAGGAGGTTGAAGGTCATCTAAATAAGACAACCTCAAACATTCATTAGGATTTGGTGTCAAAGCCTCAGAAATGAGTCTCACCCAGCAGTGCCAGCAGGCCTGGTCGAAATATGAGTATCCAACTCTAGCGTAGCCTTTGAAATGCCGAAGTCCGCAACTTTGGCTACCATATGCTCGTCGAGGAGAATGTTAGTGGGCTTTATATCTCTGTGTATGACAGGAGGATCCTGCAGCAACAAAAGCACCGATACTAATACTGCTTTCAGTAGATGCTCCAATTGGATTAAAATTTTCAATAATACATTTCACGAGTTTACACATTTGGTTCGCTTCTCTCTGGACTCTGGACTTTGCTCATTAGTATAGGATAGATAAAAAATTAGCAAAGAGAGTGAAGGACATTGACATACCGCAAATGAATGTAGGTAATCCAAGCCTTGAGCAACACCAACAGCGATTTCCAAGCGCTTGTACCACCCCATAACCTTCCCTTCTTTCAATCCTGCGTGTCCATGATTAAAAGATAAAAAAAACCTCACTATATTCTTCAATACAAAAATGCCAGTGATATAATGCATGATCAGTGTCACTATGTGGGACTCGGGATGAGAAGCAGTCACTTATATATATATGTATATATATATATATATATCGATACTTGATTTTATAGCAGTGAATAGACCTGCCAAATGATGCACCAATAGCTAATACAACACATTAGAGTAATAGCGTTACACCAAGTGAGCAAGACAGTAATAGGGTTCCAAGTCTCACGTGCTATTTGCTCGCCCAAATTACCATTCTTCATGTATTCGTACACTAGTATCTGTGAAAAAAGAGAGAACATACACACTAGAAAATCAGACAAAATCGGTGCGCTTCGATTCAGATGATGCAATATATTGTAATATCAGTCAACTCAGGCTTCGCTAATCGGCGTTACCTGAAGATTTTGATCTTCACAAAACCCCTCCAAGCGAACAAGATGACGATGATGCAATCGGCTGAGCAAGTTGACCTCATTTCTAAACTCAACATGGCCCTGAAAACTTGTACTTGATGCCCTCTTGATAGCCACAGTCTTGCCATCCGCTAGAGTTCCAAAAAACACTTTTCCAAAACCACCTGCTCCAATTTCATGCTGCTTATCAAAATTCCCTGTTGCCTTGACAAGCTCTGCTATGGTGAATCTATGAACGCCTTTTGGAACATCCCATTCATAATCTGTATGATGCAAAATGCTAGTCAGTCATTGCCCGAGAAATACAAGTGTGCAACATTTGGCGTAAATGTGGGTGAAAACCCTAGTCTCTAGATTAAGCATTTCAACTTCCCAACTTAGCATCAAGATGTTGCACCATGTTAGTCCATGGAATTTCATGTTCGTCCATGATAACGCTCTCTGTAGCTTAAAATGAGTTCAACCATAACACTTTGGGGAACCTGCCGGTAGAGAAGTAATACCCTCTTCGTTTATAGTAAACAACGCAAAGGGATCGAACGGGAGACGCTTATGTATGGGGTCCCATCTACAAAGACCGACCACCACCAACACCATTGAAAGTGATCCAACCATACCGCCAATCACTGCCTCATATGGGAATCTATTTACCTGTTCAACAAATGGCTCAACTACAAAAAAAACAAGTAGGTATAGATCAGGTCCATATGCCTTAATATTCCAAATAAAAGGTACCAAGTTGAACTTTTTGTGAAGACAAGGAAAAACTCAATCAGCGAGTACATAATGCAAAATGTAACATACCATAATCTGCAGGCTTGCAAGTGCAAATTGACAAGTCATCATAAATGTAATTTCCAGCTGGACAAGGAGCACAGCCTGCATCATGGCAAGTCTAATAAGATTATGATAACTCCTACATATTTTTAAGTACAAACGACATTGACAAGATCACTAAGATGTATAATTCTCTTACCATTGTCCAACCTCATGTAGAAATCTCTGCAGAAAAACTGTCGATTACAGACATTCCTAGTGTTGTCCGTCTCCCTCGTTGGCACATTGGTGAAACAATTGCCTGTAACATTTCTGCTTAGGCAAAAATAAAAAGTGAGGAACAGCACCCCAGACGAAGCTCCAATTCAACAGATTTAACGAAAATAAATAAATAAATAAATAAATAAATAAATAAATAAATCAAACAAGCAGAATGTCAACATGAGATTTAAAACACAAAGTAAGCCAAACAAAAGGTAATGGTGTTCAAAACTCACACAAGGCCTCCCAATTCAAACGTAGGATAACTCCCATTGAAATAGTTACAATATCTGCAAAGCAAAACATTCAGATTTTACTATGAGACACAAAAACTTCCATAAAAATGGCAGAATTGAAATCCTCGACAAACTGGGGGAAGAAACATCATTAACAGTATGGAAACAGACTCACAGGCTTATATTCGTCTGAGTTGCATTCACTAGAGGCATAGTTGGGGTAAACGTAGGAAGTGGTCCTTGAAAAGAATTTCTTGACATCTCCCTGTCCAATGAGAAACCGGAAATGCGTTATAGCAGAGGGATGAACAAGGAACCTTCATAAACCACCTTTTAGAAGAAGAAAATAACATCACACACACACAGACAAAGAAACAAACTACTTACAGTTTTGCAATGGGAATATTCACTATCCATTCTGGGAAAGGACCAGAGAGAGCATTTTGGCCAATGTGCCTGCCAAGTGATTATACACGAACCATGTCAGCCTCAAGAATAACAGAAATCTAAATTTTCCAACATGCAGTTCCATTGACGAGTGCTTAGAAACATGCGTCTTACAAACATAAATGATTAAAGAACAAAGCAACTACCGCTCTTCATGCACTTACAACAACAAAGAAAAACAAGGACGCTGCATAAAATTGGACAGATAAGGTTGTAATCTGGGGTCATAGGTCATACAATTCTCTTAATGTAGTCAAAGACTGCCAGGAGTCTGGAATGTATCCCGTTAAGTCATTATTATATATTAGCCTGCATAATGAATGGGGATACCAAAATTTAGATAGAAAATGCATGAGCGAGAAGAAAATACGGCTCCAAAACTTGGCACTCAAAATCAACAAGTGCTGAAAGAATATAATAGTGCTCGGACTAACATTTTACTTATGTTCCTCATATTCGACCACGATCGTGGAAGCCCTCCCCAAAGGGTACAAGTGTGCAGATTCCTGCAACGAGAGATACAGGTCTCAGGACAGATGAAAACAACGACAACACGCATACCACAGAAAGCGCAGAAGAAACTTCTGATAGATCCAAATCTATACATGTAGAATGCCTAAGCCCTAAAGCTGAGAAAAAAATAAAGACACAAATAAGACGAGCTATTGCGTACAAGTATTGTAGGTTCACCAAGTTGCCGAACTCTGGTGGAATTGGGGATTTCATTTGGCCTCCCCACAAAGTCCTACATCAACCACATTCGAATATTAAACTCTAATGCAAAAATACAATATAAACAGAACTAAATCTTGACCAGAAAAAACTCCGGAAGATATCCATGATCTCTTTCAAATTATCACTGCCCATCAGTGAAAACACTGGCCTAGGTAGCACAATTTCTGTGCATCACTATCATGACCTTCCAAAATGGTTGTCAACAATGCGGTGTTTCTTACACTTACAGTTGTTTTAAGTTCACGAGTGATCCAAGGCTCTTAGCTGGCAATGGTCCAACAATTGAATTGTTACCTAGAAACCTGGAAAGACACGAACATAAATAGGCGAACATCCCGTCGCAAGGGTCAAACTCATGGCAAAGTTGACAGGATATAGCCCAAAAACAGACGCATGGAAAACATATTTAAAGCATTCGTTGTCCTCGTTGGGGAGAAGAAAGACCCTAGCACGCTGACTGGAGAGTACACAAAGGAAAATTTTCAAGTTCAGGAATGAGATCTTAGACAAAGCGAAACTTAACTAGGATGTGGGTACTTACAATATTTCCAGCTTCTGAAGATTTGAAATAGACTCCGGAATGGGACCAGTAATTCCTGCAACATCGTACCTCCTGTGGCAATCATTTCTTGATAATCAGGCGTTTGACACCTTACAGATGAGTATCTGATAGCATTAACACAGTCCTGGCTACTTAATATTCATTTCCCTGAAGAACTAAGATATAAATCTGCATGGGGAAAAGAGTTGGGGCATTACAGCTCAGTCAGGTTCCTCAGTTGCAAAATTTCCATTGAGAATGGTGAATTCAAAGGATTTCGATAAAAGCTCCTGCAACAAAAGGTGGTGGGAAGATTAACGAATGACAAGAAATAGAGGCAATCAGTTGCCGTCAGACCAGTGCTTTGCACAAGCATGAATTCCAGTCTGAGGAGTTGGCCTTGTTTTGAATTAGTATTTAAGATAATTGGAGATTACACTGGCAACATCATCGTATGGTAGTAGGAAATATTCTTGCGGAGACGGAAGACATCAGCACTCACAGCATTTGAAGATTTTGCAGAAGCGCCAGTTGCGACGGGATAGGGCCGCTGATCGCGTTGTTGCTGAGATCCAACTTTCTCAACGAAGTAAGACGACCAATTTCTGGAGGAACCGGCCCTGACAATCCAGCGGCGCTCAAATTCCTGCGCAAAATACAGAGCTATTGCGTTGCGTCATACGTAAATCTTAAGTATTTCGAACCCAGGCGCTCATCTGAGTCTGATGGTTAAGAAAAATCAAAATGACTCATCAGATGGACAATCTTCCTATGGAATACCAACAGTGCCCAGCTTTGAAATTTGAAGCAAATCCAATAGCAATGTTGTTGAAGGATAGAAAACTTACAACTCCACGACTTGCCCCATCGAGCAAGTCACCCGTTCCCAATTCACGCAGGGGTCGGACCCCATCCATGTCGGAAAGAGCTGCCCCCATGATGATGCCACCTTAACAAGTGCGTCGGCTGAAACACAACAACAGAGTTCAAGCGCAACTGGGAGGTAAAAATCAAATGCTTGTGATTGAATGGGACTTGCCAAGCACCCACGGAGATTGTTGCAGAATTAGTAGATCATATGTTGGAAACCTCGCTCTCAAATTATTTTTTAACAGAAGGAAGATTTAAGGAGTACTGGAATCGTAGAGGCATATCGCAAGCTCGAGGAAGCTATGGCACCCCAAAACCATGTTACATTGAGAAATATGTCTAGACCTACTTACCTCGAACAGCGTATATAAATGCTGCCTATTCAAAGGAGACTTCAAGAAAATGCTTACCATTGAAGAAACAGGAGTTCAATGAAAAGAGGATACCCTACCTTCAGGTGTAGCCGAAGAAGAAGGGAAGCTCCAAATCAGAGCCACTAAAACTAGCACTGACCACAACCTGCCCATCCATCGCCCTATTCGCAACATTCCAAAAACCAACTAAATGCTGAAAGAGGAAGAAGATACTTCACTCAGCAATCTATACCGACTCTAAGCTATGAGATTTATTTCAAAATGATTGATTGAATCGTAACAAAGCATGCGTATTATTGAGCACAATTCTGCACCTCAACCGCTCTTGCTAAAGGCTAACCTTTTCAGCGTAGCGGTTCTTCGAAGAGGATCACATGAGAGCGAACTAGAGAAGAATGAGGCCTGCTAGTCTGTCTTTGAGGCGGCTCCCTCCCCGCCCATGTCTAAACCTCTCGACGCTGACCCTCATCAACGCAATGCTAGTGCTAAGCTGCCAGTCATCCCCCAAGTCGCCTTCGCCAAGGGCTCCTGTGCCTGTTGAAGGTCACATTGGCGGAATCTCTTTGCATATGAAGTGGAATAACATGCGTCGGTTAGAATAACCGAAATGGATTCCGCCTTCCTGTTCGACACTGCGCTGAAAGGAAACAAAATGAAAAAATCACACTTGTTCCATTGTAATCCCTCTGATTCACCAAAATTTTCCTGTGCACTTCCACAGCTCTTAGTTCTGCCTGCCCTGCGTTGCCGTCTTCGTGGATTGCAATACCCGCATTCCACAAACATCAATGATTAATTCTACCTTTCCAACTCTTACTCTACCAAAAAATCCGCCGCCACTTCCAAGTGATGTATTCAGAATATCTGCCACTCTTCGCACGCGAACGCCTTCACCAACAAATCCAGCATCATTTACTAATCGAAACGACTCCAAAAACGAAAGCTGTGCTTGGTTCATTAGTTTCAATCCACCGATTCCAGTTTCCAGGCACAACCTGCAGAATATCTGATCGATGACAATCACTTCTCCACTCGCTGTACATCAGAACCTGATCATCAAAAGTCAAGGGAAATGACATAGTATCCAATTCAGAGGCTTCCCCCGCGACGATGGCAAGCTTGGATCACTGCTCATCCTCAAACCAGATCTTGTACGAACTAACGGCTTCAGCGGAACAAGAATAGAAGCGTTGTCTCCGCAGCCACTGTAGATGCAACGTCGTCCTGACACAACTGGGCCTTGGTCGCAGGTCAGCCGCATTGACGAGACAGGGAGCTTCGCAGCAACCCTCACAGTAGAACTGACAAGTGAACTGCGCCGCAGATCCTGGGCAGTACACTTCAAGGCACTGGGGAGTTGATTTTCCACCAAGTTTGTACACTTTCCATTCAACCAACGGATTCATTCTGAACCGTTCATTACCCTTTCAGGACACAAATCGCTCCTGGTTCCTATCCAGCCTCTGGCAACACCGCAGCTACCGCTCCAATATGCTTTTCCCTCATTTAGCATCTCTCTCCTTGGCTTTCCGACCTATAAAACAACAAAAAGTTCGATTCCCTTTTTCTACCTCACTAGTGTCAATATTGGAATGTCACCTTGGTACATATTGCGCCTGCAACACTGTGAGACGCGTAAAGTCTAGCATAATCAATTGCTTGATATGGCGACTAGACAAGTTTAGAAGTAGGTCGAACTGCAGTTACTACGCTCCATCAAGAAACTATAGCACTGAACGCTAATAACAAAATGCGACCATCAGCAAACTCCGGCGGATCGTCCGATGTAGTTCTATCTGAGCTCAGAATCAGCTCACCGATGGACTCGAGCTCTTGAGAGCCACGTGCACGAACAATAGACACGGCAAAGGAAAACAGTTATAAATAGCTAGAAGAGAAGTATGCAGTAAACTAAAAATCACGACATGGGTTTGAGTAAAATGTGGACTCTTTGCAATCGAAGTGGTGCTGACGTTGCAGCAGAAAGTAACCAGAACTGCCCAGAAATGTCGAGTCAAAGGCTTGGGATGCCGAGAGAGGTCAACCTGGAGGGATTTAGACGCTGGGAGCATGAGTCAGAATCGTGCGAGGAGGTGCTTGGACATTTCAGGTGGGTGACCTGGGGGGCTGTCTCGCATCCTGCGCTTCGATACAGTGATCCGGCCATGCTCTATGCAAGCGCAATCCTAGCTTTGTCCGCCATCGCCACCTGAATCTCTGTCAAACCTTAGCAAGCTCAAATTCGATCGGCTGCCATGAGCTAGTTGCCTCTTGCTCCCTCTTCGCAAGTCTGCTTGTGATCGGAGTCGGAGCGTGATCTGCAACCCCCAACTGCGGGTGCTTGCTCCTCTTCCAGTGGATCTAACGCATGAAGTTTCACAGACAAGGGTCATTTTTTAATCACACTGTTGCGTGGGCTATTAGAAATAATCCTTGTAGCCTTTTTAGGGATAAAAGTAACTGTTCTTCACGTCCCACCTTGCCCTTGCACTCGTTGAAATCTCATTGATTTTGGGCATCTTGTTTCTCATCAAGGCTCTTGGATGAATGCCCACAACTCCACAAGCATTTCTTCCAAAGGATAAAAGAGTAGGCAGTGCTTGTCTTGTGCAAGCATATCACTCTTCTAAAGGGGGTCTTTATATTTAGGAGGGAGAAGGTGAAACGTCATAGTTTTTATATCTTGTGATTGGTTGAAATTTAAAAGTTTTTATTTTTATTTTAGTCTATAATAGGATTTAGAAGTTTTTGCTTCTTATCTTGTGTCTTTTGAATAAAGTCTCAATAAATTTTTACATATTCACACTCTCTCATTCTTTTTACTTTAGATAGATAACTTCAACTAAAGAACCTTAAATTTATAAAATATATGTATGCTATTATTATTATTTTTTAATTCCTTATTCATTATTTGGAAATTTAATGTGATCACTCTAAGTGTGTCAAGGACATAAATCTTAAAGTAAGAAAATCTCAATACACTTTTATGTAACTTGAAAATACTAGAAAATTACTTAAAGATTATAATATATTGAACTAGAATGGCTATTCTAAAGACAAGAAGATTCGAAAGTCTTAAAACAAGACTAAAGACTAGAAAAGCATTGATAAGAATAAAGAAGGCTTCAATTTTGCCTCCATATATACAATCTAACTAAAAGCTATGTGACATCATTCTATAAGATCTCTTACACATATCCAACTTACAAGATACATGTCTAACTTATAAGATAAGTTTTAAGATAAGTTTTTTATACATGCACCATATAGTTAACTTGTTCTACAAATTATTAACATGTACAAGACGTGGCTAATTTGTTGACTAAGTTTCCATCCTAGCAATCAACTACAAATATGTTGTTGTAGTAGAGAGAGTTGTTTTAAGAAAGCGATGGACCTTTGGCTACATTTGATGATTCAAACAAGTTGCAAGATTATAAAATACAAATATGATTTATATCTTATCTTTAAGAAAATAATTACATCAAATACTCAAGTCTAAGATGCACAAGAGTACCTAAGATGTGACTAGATATCCAAAAATCACTTCTACTCCTATAGAGATCCTTTTCATACATGTATCACTAAATAACTTTCAATCTAACCATCTAGTTGGATTTAAAATTTTTCACAAGTTAACTTATATCCTTGACTAGCTCTATACAAAAATTTAACTGTAAATTCATTACAAGTCTTTGGATATTGCTTAATATCTAGTAGGTACTAAACATAACAATTTCTAGGTACTTACATATATTTCAAAAATCTAATACTTAAATACCATGAATTTTTAATATACAACTTTTAAATATAGTTATCTAAATTTGTAGAAATTTTGAGCAAAATATTTGTCTAAAAACTCATGATATGGTACAAACCAAAACCTCCATTAAAAATAACTCACTTGCAAATCCTAGTTTTGAACACTAACTTCCAATAGCTCTTTTTTCTTAATTCTAGATTGAAATGTATCAAATTTTTTATATATAAAATATAATTATTTAAGTTTTCTTTTTAATCTTATTTTTCAATTCCTCAAAGTTTTCCTACAACTCTTTATATCCTTAAAAGAATAATAATAGGTACCAAAATCACATTCTAACTTCAAAAAATCATAATTCTCTCATTACAACTCTAAATCATATATTATTTTTATCCAAATTCTAGTCCAAAATACAAATTTTTGAATCTAATCTCCAAACTTTGAATGGATTGCCTTGTCTCAAATGCTTTATCTTGCCTCGAATAGATTATCCTAAAGTCAAAACCACGTATATATATTAGATGTATTTGTAGGTTAGAAACTTGGTCAACATATTAACCATATATTCGTAGCTTATAGATCAAGTTAACGCTGTGTAGTAGCTTGTGAAATAAGCTAAGTATATGGCGCATACATAGATAACTTGTTTTATAAATTAAAACATGTGGTTAACAAAGTCAATACATGTTGGAGGTCCTATAGAATATTGCCACGTAATCTTAATTAGAGAATATATATGGAGGCAAGACTGAAGCCTTCTTCACTCTTGTCAATGTCTTTTGAGTCTTTAGTCTTGTTTCAAGACTTTCTAGTCTTCTTTTTTTTTAGCAATAGGCATTCTAGTTTAATATTATATCATCTTTGAGTGACTTTCTAGTTCCTTTTAGTGATACAAGAGTGTATTAAGGATTTTCTTCCCTCAAGATTCATGTCCTTGATAAAAGATGAGAAAAAGAAGTAATGTCATAAACATATATATTTATATCATTAAGTATTATGAGATAGAAGATAAATGTAGGTATATTTGATATTATTTTGTGATGAAGCTTCTTCAAAGCTCTATAAATGCTTTTTGTATCTAAAATATCGAACTATTAGAAAATTAAAACAAGCTTGAATAACTTGTAACTATACTTCATATTTTAGAATATATAAGTAATTCTCAAAATAGATTAGATTATTCTTAAATTCAAATTTAGAAGTATTATAAAAATTTAAAAGAATTATTATTAATATCATAAATAAGACGATCAGAGAACATGCTTACTTGAACTTGCTTGACAAATATTGAATTAATAGTCAAAGTTGATTTTCTTGCTCAAAAATAAAGATGTTCTAGCTTCAAAAGAATTATTTTTTATTAGTAAAAAATAGTATTTTTTTCTTTTAATATAAGATAAGAATATCTAAAAATAGCATTTAATAAATCTTGTCAATAGATAATCTTGAAATCAAATCTTGATAATAACATACTCAAACGTATTACCATGTACATATATATTTATTCCAATAATTATCTACATAATTAACTAGAAGTAAAAATAGATTAATTTTATTATATTCTATAGAAAAACTTCCTCGAAGCTTTATGGATGTGACTTTGACTTTACACATATTTGTAATTAATTGATAGATTAGAAATTTGGTCAACAAGTTAATTAGATGTCACATGTATTGATAGCTTGTGGAACAAGCTAATTATATGGTGTACATATAGAAAAATTGCCTTGAAAGTTAAGACATGTGTCTTGTAAAGTCAACATATGTTAAAATTCCTATAAGGCATTGCTACATAGCTCCTAATTAGATAGTTTTTATAGAAGCAAGACTGAAGCATTCTTCACTCTTGTCAACATCTTTCTTGTTTTTAGTCTAATTTCAAGAGTTTATATTCATCTTGTCTTTGGTAATAGCTATTTTAGTTTCAATACTATATTACTTTTGGAATGAATATTTATTTTTATAAAGTTGCATAAGAATATTTTAAAATTTTCTCTATTTTGGTAATAATTTAAAATACACATTGATATGAGATATTTAAGGCTCTTGTGATCCATGTACATAATGACTAAATTAGAAGCACCTTCTAAATAATGAAGCTTTTCTTGAAATAAATCTATGATTGCATGAAGTTTTTTATTATAGATCTTATAGTTAATCTTGGTTGTTAAAATTTTCTTACAATAGAAAGCTACTAAGTAGAGCTTATCATCTATTCTCATTTGTAATAATACTACATCTATAGCAAAGTATAATTTATTTATTCCTATAAAAAAATATCTTAAAAAAATTGACGCATTATAAGATTGATATAGAAATAAATAATATCTTTAAGGTTTCAAAAGATGCTTTAGCTTCTTTATTCTATTCAAGTTAGTCTTTACATATCAAATGTGTAAGAAGAATCACAACTTGAAAAAAGTTCTTGATGAAGATCTAGTAATAATTAAAAAATTTCAAAAAATATTGATCATTTCTAATAATTTTTGAAATCTTCTAATCT